ACAAGGACGTAAACTCAACTCGTTTTGTGTTTTTAATAACTATGATGGAGACTGAGGACGGAGATGAACTGCAGCGATCAATCAAGCGGACTAGCAGCCCTCAGATTAGCAGCGAGCATGTTTTTAGCGGGTAAGATTAACGTTCATTTATTTCACGAGGAAGACAGGGACAGGGATAAATGTGACGTGTTTATACAAGCTATTGATAATCCTGATGGACGGGTATTTCACCACGGAGGATGCGCTCCGTCCACTGTAGTGTAAAGTGAGACAATTATAAACAATATTAATTCAATTCAATTCAAAAATACTTTATTAATCCCAGAACTTAAAGCTCCGATGCATGATTACGTTCGTTAAAATGACGTTATTTATTTATATGAGCGTCGGCGTTCAGAGAGCTTCTCATTCCGGTGTGAGAGCAGCAGCTGAACCCGGTACCACCACCAGCAACAGAAGCTGGTGGGGACCCGGACTTTATAACAATCAGCTTTGGTGTAAAGTGAAACGCTGTTAACAACATAAAGTTATAAATCCAGAGGAGTGAATTTAGGCAAAGTCAGCAACATGTTTACATCGGTGAACAGCTGCAGAGAGAACGTAAGCTAACGTTGGTAAGCTAGTTCTCTATGAGCCCCCGCTAGATGCGCTACTTCTTCTGATAACTGAACTGGGCATGAACTAGTTGAAGGAATGCTGGAGGAGTTTGTTCTTGTTTTGATCGTAAAACAATTTCAGGCTCTACTTTTCCCTTTGTTTAGTACTCGTGTCGCTCACTGTTTACATGCTTTTGCCGTCCACCATGGTGGGCCCATGTGATTAGGTGACGTCGGTGCAAAGGGTCAATAGAGAGTTGCAGTAATCAAGCCTAGAAATTACAAAAGCATGAAGTACCCGCTCCAGGTGGGCTGTCGACAGCATAGGCTTGATTTTTGCAAGGTGTCTCAGATGAAAGAAACATGGCCGGATCACAGAATTGATGTGAGCATCAAATTTAAGTCCAGCGTCAAGTTTCACCCCCAAACTGGTCACAACTGGTTTTGAGTAGGGAAAAAGAGGGCCAAGATCAACATAACGACCCATAGCCCTGCTGTTGGGGTGAAAATCAATGAGCTCTGTCTTTCCCTCATTCAGATGTAGATAGTTGGCCATTAGCCAAGACTTCACCTCATTAACACAGGACACAAAGGACTGGATAGAGTGAACTTTCTCCTGACACAATGGAGAGTAAATCTGGCAATCGTCAGCATACAGATGGAATGAGAGGCCATGTTTACGAAAGATTGACCCCAGAGGTAGCAGATAAATGGCAAACAAAAGAGGACCAAGGATCGATCCCTGCGGGACCCCCCAGTGGAGCCCCTCCCAAGAAGAAAAAACATCACCCAGTTTAACACAGAATGTCCTGTTGTGGAGACACAATCTAAACCAATCCAGAGCTGACCCTTTGATCCCGACCCATCGTTCCAAGCGATCCAGTAGAATCGCGTGGTCAACTGTGTCAAAGGCTGCTGTCAGGTCTAACAACAGAAGCACCACAGATGTACCCTGATCTAGTGATAGATAGATATCATTTAAGACCCTCAGTAGAGCAGACTCTGTGCTATGGCCAGACCTGAACCCTGATTGGAAAACCTCAAACAGATCAGAGTCAGCTAAATGTGAGACCAGCTGCTGATAAACGACTTTCTCAAGCAGTTTAGATGTAAAAGGCAGGGTAGAGATAGGCCTGTAATTTTCTATCACAGAGACATCAGCAGCAGGTTTCTTCAGGGTCGGCCGAATAACTGCTGCTTTCAAAGCAGCTGGGACCACACCTGTGCTGAGGCTCCCATTGATAATCTGACCAAGTGATGGGCCAAGGCACAGAAAGGCAGCCTTCCAGAGACGAGGCGGCAGAACGTCAAGTGGAGAGCCAGATGGCTTCTGCCTCGCAACAAGCTTACTCAGCTCAGAGTATGAAACTGTATTGGGGGAGCTCAGGGTGGGTGGTAATGGAGGAACTGGAACAGGGTCAACAGAGTTACCAGAAATGACTGCTCTAATGCCCGATACTTTATCTACAAAGAATCTGTGAAAATCTTCAGAGTTTCCAGCAGCTGTAGGAGACATGAAGCTAGGCTCCTGATACACCAGAACAGAGTTTAGTGTTTTGTAGAGAATCTTAGGATTATTGGAGTTTGTTTCAATGATGTTTGCAAAATAGGCCATTCTGGCGGCCCTCACAGCATCCTGAGAGAACCAGGTCCAGGGTGTGACCCCTGGCATGAGTTGGGGACGATACCCATTGAGTTAAATTGAATGAATCTAGCAAATTCAAAAAGCCTTTAGTAAGCACATTGTCAGTAGCCTAGTGAACTAGACCACATTCTTGCTTTGCAAAGTTTGTAATAATACATTAAATAATACATTTGTTTAGTCTGGCTTGCCAGGCTACACTGTCAGGACAGCAGATATGGATGTTAAAATCCCCAAGAAATAGGACATAGTCATATTTTAGGATGCAGTCTGCCACAAGATCATAGAAATCATTTAGGAAGTTAGAGTCAGTCTTTGGAGGGCGATGAATCAGCACGACGAGCAGGCGGGGGGAGATGCACAGTTCAAAGGAAGAAAATGACATGGTGGGTGTGAGCTGTTTACAAGGAAAGCTGGATTTAAAAACAACAACCAGCCCTCCACCTCTGCCCCGCGATCTACGGATATTAAAACAGGAGCAGCCAGGTGGTACCAGCTCCAGCAGGGCGCTTGAGTCACCAAACGGGATCCAGAACTCATAGATGCACAGAAAACTCAAGCCATGTTGAATAAAAAAATCCCAAAGAATAAAAGATTTGTTCTGCACAGACCTGGCATTGACCAGACCAAACCGGGTCTGCGGCGGGGCCGCAGCACCAGGATCACGCACCGTCTCGTCCAGCTCTGAGCCCGTAACCGAGCGTAGATTCTCCCAGCAAACCCCACTCTGGCAAGGTCCTCAAGCCGATTGGCCGTGGCGCGGTGCCAGCTCACCCTCAAAGCCGGCCAAGTTCACAAGGCAGGGCGCAGAGTAAACCATCAGACGTCTCGGAACCACCGGGCCACAAGCTGGGCCGAATCGGACCAGCAGCTTCTTCAGGAATCCAGGAAGTCCAGCCTGACGTCTCACGCGCTGGCTACCTCGCTTTCCCCATCTTCTACAATGTTTCAGTCTTGAGCTGGGGTGGACAGAAGGCCGACACATCACGGCCGGGGGGCAGAGTGCATACGGGCAGTCCAAACAACAACGTCGTCCGTGAGGTTCCCAGCGCTCAGCGCCCGCTACATCAACAGGAGGACGAAGCCTCAGCAGCGAAGCTCGATCATAAGTCACCAGAGACGCCACAGCATTCAGAAAAAGCATCAGAAACAACAAAAGTGCATAAAAGCCAGTAAAACGCAAGGTTCCATTGCGTGCACCCGCGCAAGCGCTTTCTGAACTGAAGACTCCGAGATGCTCGCTCCTTTCAGTCCTCACTAATCCCTCTCTTTGCCTCAAGACTTCATCCTGGTACTGCTTCATCAAGCAACATGAAAGGAAATGTTCATTCTTTAATGCAGGCGTGGGGAACCCGGTCCTCGAGGGCCGGTATCCTGCACGTCTTTGCTCCAACACTTCAGATTCAGCGGTTGAGTCACCTGTTCAGCAGCTCATCAGGCTCTGCAGAAGCCTGTTAATCACCTGCTGATTGAAATCAGGTGTGTTGAAGCAGGGCTGAAACTAAAATATGCTGGATAGCGGCCCTCCATGGACCAGGGTTCCCCATCCCTGCTTTAATGAATGTGACTGCTGACTGTGCATGTTTCGGGCATCAGCCTCAACAGCACCATTATGTTCTTTAAATCAGTAGACATGCAAGTTAATATGCATTTTATTTACAGGTAAACAGAGATTAGAGATGCAATGATTCTGGTGTTAAAAGGCCGATGCTGACTTTCAATTCTTGTGTAGCTCTGATCAACCGTTACCGATTCAGATTGATCTGGGATAAATGTCGGGACGCTCCGATCTGACCACATGATCATAAATCCGGCCTGATCGTGATTTTAAAAAAAGGTCAGAACTTGGTGAAATAGATCTGATTTAACCTTATAAAACAACAAATGTGACTTTAAAATCCTCCTGAGAAGAAGATTTTCAAATGGAATAACAATGGCTTGGTTTAAATTTCTATCCTCATAAGATTAACACTTTTTAAATCAGTGTACTTCCTAAACCAGTGAAAGTGAAACCTAAAGGACAACTTGGATGTGTTTTCTTTCTTCTTATTGTTTTAATGCTTTCCTGAAAAGTACTGGACTGGAATTCTGCATGGCAGAAACTCAAAATCATATGATTCGGAAAGCGTGATCGGAACATCCCCACATAAATGTAATTAACAGAATGTGCTTGTTTTCACTTCTGATTAGCTTGCAAGTATGATGCTGGAATAGTAAACGCTTCAAAATGAAGGAAAATAGCTGTGTGGCAATGGTGCATTCACGGACTAAAAATATATCTGAATTTTTCAGTTTCAGATTGACTGGCCACCGATTACGCAGATTTTGCAGAATATAGACCTCTTCCAGTACCAGTCGATCCTCTGTAGAGATGCACCAAAATCGTTAAGCCTGCACCGCTGCCAGGCAGAAATGAACAAATGAACACCTGTTTTTCCCTAACCCATTCATATAGGCACCAATATAGCAACAGCACGCTCTCTCCATGGGGGAGCTTTTACTTTCACAATCACAATTTCTATTGTGGATAGAATTTTTTATTTATTTCTGATTGTTTTTTGAGAAAAACATAATCAACCAGAATTGGTGGTGGTAGATCAGGGGAAAAGGCGCCAGCCTTTAAAACCAGAACAGGAATACTCTTAATGTCTCAAATCAAAATAATCCAAGTCCAGTCCAGTTTTGCTTCACTGATCATTTTGATCTAATGGGAGAAATTACTAAATTAAGCACAAATACCTTCAGATTCTTCATCAACTCACCTGGTGTTGGTTGTAATTGTTCCTCTGCTGCAGGAAGGCGCCCTGCTGGGGGTGCATTTGGGGACTGACCGGAGACCTGCGACTCTGTGGCTGCTGAGGAACATTTATCTGGGGTGAGAAAGGACCGCTGAAGCCCTGCACGTTAATCCCGGCGCACGGATTAGCCGACAAGGGCGAGAAACTCTGGAAGAAGGCCGGGTTGATGGAGGAAGGGATACCTGGGTAGAAGCTGTTCTCAGAGTCGGCACTGGGCATCTGGTTAAGGGCGTTCGGGTGGATGGTACTGATGGAGTTGGCTGCAGGTGGGGGCGAGGAGTTAGTCTGGACGGACCAAGGGGGGCCGAACCCAGGGAGGGAAGGTGAGGACGAGCCCCCACTGGCGCTCTGGATCTCCTGGGCGGGGAGGTTCGGGAAAGCGGCTCCGAGACCTCCGGACAGCATGTTTCCGCCGGTGCTGCTGCTGCTGCCATTGCCGTTATTTAAATGGTGTGCGATGGGGGAGTCCATTTGGATCTCGTTTAGGTTCGCGGGAGAGGGCGATGGCGACGCAGCATCGGCTTCAGCCGCCTCCAGAGGTCCAGCAGCAGGGACGGGCTCCGGTTGGAGGAAGGGCTGCAGGTGACTGAAACGCCCCTGGGGTGGGGGTGACTCTGCCGGGATGAACTCGCTGTGCTGACCTGACTGCTGACGGGTGTTTCGGCTGTGCTGAAGGTCACAGATGGACTGCGTCGGGCAAAAGCGCTCGCAAGCGAAGTCGGTGAAAGCGATCCTCTGGGTTAGGAGGCTGTGATCCGGCGTGAAGGAGCTCAGCTGGCCGTCGGGCTGGTTGGGTTGCGAGCTGCTGCTGCGGTCCTCTCCCTCGGCTGACGGGGGTAGCTGCGTGGCTGTCACCCCCACAGGCTCATCCTGCATGTTGCGCTGATGCGCAGCAGCTGACAGGAGAGCGGCGACGCGGCGACGCTTCTGGAGGGCGACCCGCGGAACGAACAGCTCTCACGACGCCGACAGGACGAGGCGCGGGGCTAACTGCGACGTCTAAATCATGCAAATATGCGTGTAGGTGTAGATTTAACCACGTGAGGTCTTTTCAGCTGGAGGTGGGCCGGCTGGAGCGTCACTGGGGGGTCCTGGCCTAGTCCTCGCTGCCGTGTCTTCTCCTCGGTGGGGGTACTTTCTACCTGGAGACCGATCGGTTCCGGCCTTGTCCGCTAGGTTAGCTCGTGCGGCCCATTCCGGTGCGACCGTGCTCCCCCCTCCTCCGGTAAGCGGCTGCGCTGCTGCGGCAGAGGATTAAAGACCCCCGACAGGAGCTACGTCACGACCGCATCACGCCTGTGAGGTGCGCGCGCCTCGAGCCGCAAAGAGGACCGCATTGTTTACGTCACTTTTTCATTATTCATAAAGCGCAGTGGGCCTACACCCTCCCGGCAGCCTGCTGCGGAGCGAATGCCATTTAGTTTTATTGGATAAATAATTGATTGTGATAATAGCCTCACGTGCAGTGCAGATTATACTGAACTAATATTTTATTACAGTCGCTGAGCTGTTTTTGTGTGGATTTATGAAAATGTAAACACAAAAATATCTAAACTGAGCCATACAGAGGCTCGGGGTTATTTCTAAAACGTGACACAAGGATGATAATACCATGCTGTCCTCTCATGGCTCTCAATGTGCTCCACTATAATCTCAGTCATCAAAAGACCTCTATTAAGGCAAGCCGAGGTAACATATAATTAAATCTCCTTGTCACGTTTTCAAAACATCTTTATGACATTTACACTGTATTACATTTACACTGCATAATATTGTAAATTTGTGAAAAAAATTAGTACAAAATTTCAATTGTTTAATGGTTTTTGTCATATTGTAATTTTTTTTGCCATTTTACTGATTAATAGGTAAACAGATGGATAGATAGATAGATAGATAGATAGATAGATAGATAGATAGATAAAGATATAGATGTCACGTTTCGGGGCAGGAGGTTAGGACCCAAGATGCAGAACCCAGGATGACAAGAGGCAGGAGTTGAATTGTAAGTGAAAATCCTTTATTTTGAGGAAGAACAAAAATAAATCCAAACGGCAGGGAGCCAAAATCCAAAAATCCAGGGAGTCAAAAGCACAAGAGGGACGAGCAGACTGACAGAACAAATAACGCTGACAAACAACAATGGACCGACAAGAACACAAAGACAGACAGGGCTTAAATACACTGGAAGGAGCAATCAGGGAAACAGGAAGCAGGTGTGTGGGGTGAGCTGCTGGAGGGAAGGCAGGTGACACTAATCAACTCAATGGGGAAAACAGAAACAGAGGATGGCAAATACCTTAACACAAAACTAAACAACAATTTCCTAAAGACAGAGAGAAGGACTCACACAAACTAGCTGGAGGAGGACATGGTACATACACACACACTGAGCTGGGGACAACGAGGCTGGAGCTGACCTGGGAGGAAACAGTAAAAGATAACATCAGACACTAGACTGACACAC